CCATCCTTCAAATCTATAAATCAACAATCTGTCCTTGCATGGAATATTGCTGTCATATATAGTCTAGTGCTCCTACTGTACATCTCGAGGTCCTTGACAAACTCCAGAGATGAATATGCAAGATTATAAATCCTGATCTTGCATCTACTCTACAATCGTTATCCCACAGATGTGATGCGGCCTCCCTCTGTCTCTTCTTCAAATATTGTTGAGATGTTGTGAGTTTCCCGCGTGTCGGTGTATGAATCAAGACAAACATTTGTAGAGGAAAATACTGGTATATTCATAAAAGCAATTAACAATAGAGTGATTAGTAGAACGAAGGTTGGTTAGTACGAAACAATATCCAAAGTCTATAGTCCAACGGTATGTACCGGGTAAGCTTATCTGGACTGCTCACGCTGACTCTCTCTCTGACGCTCTCTCACTCTCTCTCCAGAGCTGACTTATATAAGAGGGACCAGTCCATTACTAGTTAGAAGGTGGGTGCGCCCCAACAAATATTTTCATGGCAACTGTTCCAACAAGCTACTGTAACTGGTTCCCAGACTTCATGAATTTAAACGTGCTACCAGGCTGACATTTCAGTCTCACCCTTTCACTGTCAAAATGGTTTCTTCTTCTCAAACAGCTTCTTCTCCTGCACTTCTGGTCTGTGAAACTCCTTTCCTCTTACTTGCTTCCTTGATGACTATCTTCAAATATTCAAGTGTAATGTCAATTGACATCTGACTCCCTGAGTTTGTTCCTCATCCTCCTCTGTGTCCTTTCCTTAAACGTACATCTTTACTCTTGTTCTCAGTCCTCTGCAACCCCTTGCATACTAGTGGCACTCCCACCTTCCTTAGGGTGAATTGCCTTAAAAAAAAGTGAATATAACCAACCCAACAGGAATTGGAACTAAGTTCTCCAATTAAAAATCCTGAGCCATTATCCACCTGCACATCCAAGCTTACAGCACCTGGTATTCCCAAGCAGTCACCCATATAGGTACTAACCAAGCTTGACCTTGCTTAACTTTGGTGATAGTACAGAAACCGCTGTTTCAACTGATGTGGCCAGAACCCTTCATCAGTTCATAATTTGGTACCTTAATGGTAAATGGTAGTTTTGATAAAGTAAAACTGGTAGCTGCTCTCAAAAATGACCTCCAATCAGTTGTTAAATGGGGCAAGAAATGGCTTGTAAATTTTAATGGGTCCAAAATGAAGCTGCTTTCTTTTAATTATATAAGAGAACCTTCTCTGTCTTCCACCATGGCTGATGCTAACCTCCAGGAGAGTAATTCATTGCACCTTCTTGGTATAACATCTTCCAGTGATATGATTATATTGAATCAATTGCTAAGTCTGTTACTAAGAAAGTTAGTTCGTTGCATTGTGCAAGACAATTTTTCTTATCAGAATCTACCTTACACATTTATAATCCACCATTCATCTGTGCATCATATACTGCTGCCAAATCTGATCTTGCAATTCTGCTATATATTTAGAGATTCTTGATAATATCCAAAGAAAAATTTGCTATGTTTTCAGTCCTGACCTGGCATATCAGCTTTAATCACTTTTTGACTATTGTAATATAGCTCCCATTTGCTTTTTCTATAAATATTTTCATATGATATTGTTCTGGTGAGCTTTTCTTATTAGTAACTAGACTTTATGAATATAAATGTAGTACCAGATTGGCATTTAGGTCCCTTCATTGAACTTGCTAAGTGTAAGCGTAAGTTCTATGTTAATGATTTCTTTTCTCATAATTTTCACTTTTGGAACTCTGTTTCTGCTTTCTTGCTTCCTTATCAGGAAATTAAAAATTTAAATATACAGTAGAATCCCTCAAATCCAGAGTGCCTCATATCCAGAATCCCTCAAATCCAGAGTGCCACATATCCAGAATCCCTCAAATCCAGAGTGCCTCATATCCAGAATCCTGCATATCTGGACATGACTTTGATGTGTATATTTGAACTATTTGGGTGCTATGTAACTGATTTGAAATTTCTGTTTTTCAGGAAATTTACTTTGGATAATTGCTTATGCTTATTTCACCCTAATGGCTTGCATTGGTGCAAAAGATGATGGGAATAAGAGGAAAAGAACAACTTTGGAGTTATCGCAAAATGTGGATATTTTAAAGAGACTAGACGTTGGTGAAAGTTCATTGTAACTAATGGCTGAGTTCAACATAGCGAAGTCAACATTGTATAATATAAAATCTTCCAAAGAAACTATTCACCAGCGTTCACATCATCACAATGAACAAGGAAATATAAAACCTTATTGTGATGATATCTGGACTAAAATTGAAAAAGATAATTGAAAAGGTTGTCAGTTTTATGGAAAGAAAGCTAGCATTCACCTATGATGATTGCAATAACGCACGCAGAGTAAAAGTGTATTTTGTTTAAAAAATTTCAAGAACAAAAGCAAAACGAAATGCAGAAAAAGTTGAGAATGACATCAGAAGAGAAAGAATCATCATGCAACAGCGATTAAAA